TCCCAAGTAGCTAGGACTACAGGCGCCCGCCACAACGCCTGGCCATTTTTTGGTTGCAGCCATCATTGTTGTTTGGCGGGCCCGGGCTGGGGATTTGAAGGTGTTAGGTGTATGTGGCTGGCGCCTTAGCCGCTCGAGCCACAGGCGCCGAGCCTTTACCTTCTTTTTTCTTTCTTTCTTTCTTTTTTTAAACAGCATCTCACTTTGTCACACTCAGTAGAAAGTGAGACAAAGTGTCATTTTGGTGTTACAGCTTACAGCTCACAGGAACCTCAAACTTTTGGGCTCAAGCAATCCTTTTGCCTCAGCCTCCAAGTAGCTGGGAGTACAGGCGCCCACCACAATGCCTAGCTAGTTTTTCTATTTTAATTTTTTAAAAATTTTTCTTTATTTTATTTTATTTTTATGAGACAGAGTCTGACTCAGTTGCCTTGGGTAGAGTTCCATGGCATCATAGTTCACAGCAACCTCAAACTCTTGGGCTCAAGTGATTCTCTTGCCTCAGCCGCCTGAGTAGATGAGACTACAGGCACCTGCCACAACACTCAGCTACAGAGTGTTCTTTTTAATGTATTAACATGACTGCATCATTTTCCTGATTAAAACTCTCTAAGAACTTCCTTTTGGGTCAAGTCCCTGTTTCTTAGCATGACGTCCCACTGGGGCTGTCCCCACCTGCCTGGTTAGTTCCCCATCACAACCCCTGGGGTGAGTTAGAGAACCTAGGTCTTATCTTCCATCAGGCGGAAGCATATGAAAACTGAAAGCTTGGGCCGTGTCACTGCTCTCATTGAGTTGCCTTTTGGGTATTGCCTTAAATATGCCATAAGCTCCTTTTGAGGGATATCACAGTATTTGCTAGGCCTGGTGTCCCCTGTATGAAACCCAATGTGAAAATTGTCTCTCTGAATGAGAAACTTAAAAAGCTTTACTTCCCATGTTTCCTCTCCCCTAGTAGTGAGATTTTTGGTGTCCAGCTGGGCTTCTTTTTTCACTTTGTCCGAAAGTACAAAACAAAGTCTAAGAATGAACTATAATAAATGGGTAAGAACTTATGGGCCACTTACTAAAATTCATTTTTTCTTTTGGATCTATAGCTTCTTTTTGTTTTTGCTCACAGCAACCTTGAACTCTTGCCTCAGCTCCCAAGTAGCGGTGACTACAGGCACCCGCCACAACACCCAGCTATTTTTTGTTGTTGTTGTTGTTGTTGCAGTTGTCATTGTTGTTTTAGTTGGCCTGGGCCGGGTTCAAACCGGCCAGCCTCCGTGTATGTGGCCCGCACCCTACCCACTGAGCTATGGGCGCCACCATATAGCTTCTTTTCGTATTGAGTTTTTCTGGTTTTATTTTTTTAATTTACTATGTATAATTTTCTCTTATACCATACTCACTTCCCATGAAACACATCAGATGTTTTGCTAAAAAGGCAGAGTATAAAGAAACAAACAAATTAGTTTCAAGTGTAAATATTGACTAAGGAGATATTGTCTAAACAGGGCTGATAGCAACCTCTCAAGGAATTGACATGTTATTTTTTAAACTCCGAATATAGAAGAAAGAGAATCTTGGCGTAAATAGCTGAGTATCCTAAACTTCCAGAAAGTAGATTTTGGTTTTTTTACCTTTTAATTTTAATTTTTGAGACAGCATCTCACTTTGTCATCCTTGGTAGAGTGCTGTGGTGTCACAGCAACCTCAGACTCCTGGGCTCAAGCAATCCTCTTGCCTCAGTTTTTCTATTTTTAGTAGAGGCAGGGTCTCACTCTTGCTCAGGCTCAACTCGAACTCCTGAGCTCAAATGATCCACCCTCCTCTGCCTCTCAGAGTGCTTACAGGCATGAGCCACCTCACCTGGCAGATTATTTTTTCAGAACAGGAAAAGGAAAGGAATGATCTCATGACCAGAGAAGCTACAGGGAGTACAAACAAGAAACAAAAAGGTTATAAAACAAACAACTTAGCAGAGAACTCCCACAAGATGCTTCTGGTGAAACCATCAGGATGTGGATAAAGCCTCTGAACCACAGATGGTGTGTAGTGGGTTCTGGGAAGATAGGCAGGTGCCTCACCTTGCCAGCCTGCCTTAAAGCTGCAGTCCTCTGCCTACAGACTGGAAGCTTTTCAATGGCAAGATGGTGTTTTGTTTACCACTGTGGCCCCAGTGCCTATTCTTGGACTCAGCTCAGGGTAAACATGTAAAGCATATTTATTGATGAATAAAAGAACCAATGAATGAGTGAATGACCCCTCCGTCTGATGGCCATGGTCACTGCCAATTCTTTCTAGATCTCCTTGGAGTTGTTTCTAGGACCACAGGCTTCTGAGCTGAGCTAGGTGTCATCTGAAGAGACAGAAAAGCTGAGCTGGTGAGAGGGCGGAATCATAGTTCAGAGGAGCCAAACTCCTGAATGGAACAATCAGGTGCATCTACACCCACAGGCTCTGATATCCTCGGGTGTAGAAAGGGTCTTATTTATATCCGCCGCCCCCCCTGCCCGCCCCCCGCCTGGCACCTAATAAACAGTATATGTTTGCTGCACTGATCAGCAATGGTAAGGGATAAATCAGATCAAGAGAGCAAATACTTACTGAGCACTTCTTGTGTGGTGACCACTGTTTACACGGAGTATCATTTAATCTTCAGTAGAACCCTAAATGGCTGGCACTCTGCATGAGTCCGTTGAGCACAGGTTAGCAGCTAAGTTGGAGATAGTTAAGTCACTTGTCCAAGGTTAGACAACAGGAAGTGGTGGGGCTGAGCAGCAGACCAGGTGGTCTCCCTCCAGGACACACACTCTTAAGCACTGTGCTGTGCCACGTGGCAGTGTAGAATAGAAAAGCCAGCAGTTCAGGAGTCAAGAATGAAGCAAATGAGGTGAAACAGATTGGGAAGAATGGCTCATACGCAGTGCCTTGGGAATGTGAGCTTGTATTATGCACTCAGCTGCTAAAGCCAGCCATGTCTGGCTGAACCCTGTACCCACGAAGAAGTACACTCATCATACTGGGAATATCTCCTTGGAGATGATCAGTCTAAGAAGCATTTTTGATATCACAGTTCTATATATTCATTAATTCAGACAAACATTTACTGAGCTCCTACAACATACTGGGGAGCCTAATAGGAACTGAAGAGAGAAAGATGAATGAGACTCTGATCTTGTCCTCAAGGAAAACACAATTCAGAGACCAGTCACTGCACAGTAAGATGAAGGCTGGGTCAGAAGTGCAAACAGTGTACAGGCAAGAAACATCTTGCAGGACCAGTGATAGTGGGTGGAAGATATTTCCTACAAACTGCGTTTTAGACGGCATGTTGGGGAGACACACAGGAGACAGCAGGAAATAAATCAGGACTGGGGAGGGGCACACGCCGAGGGAGCTAGCAGCTAGAGAATTTCCTGGAAGCCTGGCAGTGGGGTTTTGTAAGGTATTTGAACTCTTCTTGAAAAGTAGGAGGATTCATTAAAGGATTTTTTTTTTTTTGAGACAGTGCCTCAAACTGTCGCCCTGGGTAGAGTGCTATGGCATCACAGCTTATAGCAACCTCCAACTCTTGGGCTCAAGCGAGTCTCCTGCCTCCACCTCCCAAGTAGCTGGGATTATAGGTGCCCGCCACAACGCCCGGGTATTTTTTGGTTGCAGCCGTCATTGTTGTTTTTTGGCAGGCCTGGGCTGGATTTGAACCCGCCTCCATAGGTGTAAGTGGCTGGCGCCTTACCCACTTGAGCCACAGGCGCCGAGCCTCATTAAAGGACTTAAATGTTTTTTAATTTTTTTTTTTTTTTCAGTCTTTGGCCAAGGCTGGGTTTGAACCCACCACCTCCAGCATATGGGGCCATCACCCTACCCCTCTGAGCCACAGGCGCTGCCCCATGTTTTTTAATTTTTATTTTGTTTAGAGATGGGGTCTTGCTCTGTTACCTAGGCCAAAGTACAGTGGCATGATCATAGCTCACTGTAACCTCAAACACCTGGGGCTCACACTATCCTCAACCTCCCCAGTAGCTAGGGTTACAGATGTGCACCACCAATGCCCAGCCATGAAAGGATTTTAAGCATACAAGGAACATGTAGAGATTGTCGTCTTTTAAAAGGATCATTTCAACAGAATGATAGGGAAAAGGTCAGAGTGACTGGGAAATCTGTTGCATTTAACCAGGTGAGAAATGATCAGGCAGCAACAGTGAGAATGGACAAAGATGCTGAGTCTGAGCAATAGTTAGATGGGAGACTCTATAAAATTTGATGTGTTAAGTGAGAAAAGAGTTTTAGGTGTCTCCCAGCTTCTCCTTTAGACAATTAGAAGACTAGCAGCACTATTTTTAGAGATAGAGAATTCAGAGGAGGAGAAGAGATGTCTCAGTTGTCTATTACTGAACAAAGAGCCACTCTAAAACCTTGAAGCTTGAAACAACTGCCATGTATTTACTTACAAGCCTGCTCAGGACTTCGCAGGTCGGCTTGGACTCTCCTCTGGAGAGCAGCCTCATTTACATGGCGGGCAGATGGCGCTGCTGTCACGTGGGAGCTCAGTTCTGGCTGTTGGGAGGGTCTCCGATTTCCTTATGAGGGCCTTTCCACATAGCTACTCCCATTTCCTCATAACATGGAGTCTGTTTGCAGAAGAAATGTTCCAAGAGGTGAAGATGGAAACTATGTGCTTTTCAGTGCCTGGTCTCCAAAGTTACACAATATGCTATTTGTCAAAGCTTGTCACAGGCCAGCCCAGATTCCAGGGGAGTAAAAACAGACTCCCATCTCTCAATGGGTGGAGTGGCAAAGAATTTACACCCATCTTAATGATCCACCATAAGAACATTTGAAGAAAAAGATGAAAAGTTCAGACTGGGCTCAGCGCCTGTGGCTCAAGTGGCTAAGGCACCAGCCACACACACCTAAGGTGGCAGGTTCAAATCCAGACCGGGCCTGCCAAACAACAATGATGGCTGCAACCAAAAAAAAAAATATATATATATAGAGAGAGAGAGAGAGAGAGAGCGCGCGCGCCAGGCGTTGTGGCGCCTGTGGTCCCTGCTACTTGGGAGGCGGAGGCAGGAGACTCTCTTGAGCCCAGGAGTTGGAGGTTGCTGTGAGCTATGATGCCATGGCACTCTACCCAGGGGGACAGTTTGAGGCTCTGTCTCAAAAAAAAAAAAAAGAAAGAAAGAAAAAGAAAAGTTCAGGCTGGACAGGTTGAGTTTGAGATATCTGAGAAACGTCACTATGGAGCTGTAAGGAAGCAGGCAATTCCATGCACACATCTGGTACTCAGAGGAAAGAGTAACTTTGTGTGACATTTGGCCATTTGACAGATTCTAACATAGTGGTTAACAATTATAGGCACACACCAGAGGAGTGTGTGAAGAGAATGAATACAAGAGACAAGGTTGGAGCTTCTAGTACAGTCGATAGAGCAGGGAAAAAGTCGTGTGTGATGAAGACTAAGAAGGAAGTCCTAGCAGGGGTCCTCAAACTATGGCCCGAGGGCCACATGCAGCCCGCCTAGGACATTTATCCGGCCCTCCGGGTGTTTTTGCCACTGCTGCCTGTCCTACTTAGCGGCCAACTCGTCCCCGGGGCCCACAGTCCTGCCCTCCATGGTCTGAGGGACAGTGAACTGGCCCCCTGTTTAAAAAGTTTGAGGACCCCTAGAGGAACAGGAATAAGATGGAAGAGAAAGGGGCTAAAGAAAGAAACCCAGGAGAGTTGGAGGAGGGACTGTTCAGTAATTTCAAATTCCATAAAGAGGCCAAGCAATGCAAGAAATATGAAAATGTTCACTGGCCTTGGCAACACAGAGGTCTTTGGTAAGCTTATGAAAGCATTTTTCTTTTGGTGAGACAGAGCCTCAAGCTGTCCCCCTGGGTAGAGTGCTATGGCATCACAGCTCATGGCAACCTCCAACTCCTGGGCTCAAGCAAGTCTCCTGCTTCCACCTCCCAAGTAGCTGGGACTACAGACACCCATCACAATGCCTGGCTATTTTTTGGTTGCCGTCGTTGTTTGGCAGGCCCGGGCTGGATTCGTACCCACCAGCTCAGGTGTATGTGGCTGGCGCCCTAGCCGCTTGAGCCACAGGTGCCAAGCCTATGAAAGCATTTCTAATGGCATAGTGGGGATAGAGTTTAGAATTTTTGGTTCAAGAATGCAAATACTGATGCACAGGGCAAATGATGTATTGCCAAGGATTTAATGTCTTTGCAACTCTTTTTTTTTTTTCTTGTAGAGTCGTTTGGATTCCTTTCGATTGCTCAAATACAATATCATCTCTGCATCTAAATTTACAGGCAGCAATTGTCCACTTCTCATTCAAAGGCACAATGTTGTCCCAGGAATATTTTTGGTATGTACTTTAAGACATATGACTCTTTTAGCCAACCATGTATGATGCTTGCATGACTTGGGCCTATTTTACACACAATGTGCTGTGCTCATTTTAAGTGAACAGCTCTATTGAGTTTTGATAAATGTATATACCTATATAAGCCCCTCCACAATCAAGACAGAAAACACGGCCATGGTCCCAAAGAGTTTCCTTCAGCTCATGAACTGTCAGTTCTTCCAACTTCATCCCCAGGCAAATGTTGTCACTATACATTAGATTTGCCTTTTCTAGAATTTTATCTAAAAGAATTCTTACAATAAGTATTCTTTTATCTGGCTAGGTTGATATATCATTGTTTTTTAAAAGATTCTCTGGGTGGCTTGGTGCCAGGTGCCAGCCAGATACACTGGGGCTGGTGGGTTTGAACCCTGGCCCAGCCTGCTAAACAACGACAACTATAATAATAATAATAATAATAATAATAATAAAAGCCAGGCATTGTGGCAGATGCCTGTAGTCCCAGCTACTTGGGAGGCTGAAGCAAGTGTGAATCTCTTAAGCCCAAGAGTTGGAGGTTACTGTGAGCTGTGACACCACAGCACTCTACCAAGGGTGACATAGTGAGACTCTGTCTCCAAAAAAAAAAAGCATTCTCTGGGCTCAGTGCCTGTAGCTTAAGCGGCTAAGGCACCAGCCACATACACCAGAGCTGGCGGGTTCAAATCCAGCCGGGGCCTGCCAAACAACAATGACAATTACAACCAAAAAATAGCCAGATGTTGTGCTGAGCTCCTGTAGTCCCAGCTACTTGGGAGACTGAGGTAAGAAGATTGCTTAAACCCAAGAGTTTGAGGTTGCTGTGAATAGTCACACTGCGGCACTCTACCCAGGGCGACAGCTTGAGACTCTGTCTCCGAAAAAGATTCTCTGGGTGGTTTTTAATGAGAAGCAGTGACTGGGTAGATTTCTCAGTACCCTGACAGCTAAAAACAACCCCATGATTTAAGAAAAAACTTAGAACAACTAAAACTAAAACAAACAAAAAACATGATTTTGTCTGAGAGTTGAGAGAGAGTTTATGAAGCTGCATTTTGAGAATAAGGAATGACAGCTGTCATTGTAATAATTATGATAAGGGCAACACTAAATTTTATTGGCCTTTAAATGCATGCCCAGGCACTGCGCTAAGTTATTTATGTGTATTTTCTTTCTTTCTTTCTTTTCTTTTTTTTTTTAAAGACAGAATCTCACTTTATTGCCCTGGATAGAGTGCTGTGGCATCACAGTTCACAGCAACCTCCAACTCCTGGGCTTAGGCAATTCTCTTGCCTCACCTCCCAAGTAGCTGAGACTTCAGGCACCTGCCACAACACCCAGCTATTTTTTTGTTGTAGTTTGGCTGGGGCCGGGTTCGAACCCACCACCCTCAGTATATGGGGCTGGCACCCCACTCACTGAGCCACAGGTGCTGCCCTATTTGTGTGTATTTTCTTATCTAAATCTCCATAGTAAACTCAGGGGGTAAGTCCTAAAGAACAGAGGCTTAAACAACTCATCCAAGGTCAAGGAGCTCTAACACATGGTGGGTTCGGGATTTAAATTCAGATTTTCTCACTAAGAACAGAGATTTTGGCTCGGCTCCTATAGCTCAACCGGCTAAGGCGCCAGCCATGTACACCTAAGGTGGCGGGTTCGAATCCCTAGCCCGGACCCGCCGAACAACAATGACGGCTGCAACCAAAAAATAGCCGGGCGTTGTGGCGGGCGCCTGTGGTCCCAGCAACTTGGGAGGCGGAGGCAAGAGACTCGCTTGAGCCCAGGAGTTGGAGGTTGCTGTGAGCTGTAATGCCACGGCACTCTACCCAGGGGGACAGCTTGAGGCTCTGTCTCAAAAAAAAAAAAAAAGAACAGAGATTTTGCTTTTAATCAGGACTCTTCCAGAGCTTGTACAAGATGGAGTCTCAGCCCCCACTACTTTGGACATGCTTAAGAAGTGCAAAGTGATAGCAGATGAATGCTTCCAGTGTGTTGATGAGTTCCAGCTGGGGAGAAGAAACTAATCTAAATGTATATTTAGCAAGAAGGCACAGAGCCTCTTATTTCAATATGAAAAGTAAGCCAGCTTGTTGCAAGTGTCAAATGACAGCTTTGACAAAAGAAGGGGACTCAATTCAAATGAGATGGGACAGAGGCCACATCCCATACATGTCTTCTGAGGTACTTAGAAAATAGAGAAAGCAAGAGTAGCTCATCCACTGATTTATCTATAGTTAAGCAAATAATTTCCTGGGATTTTAATTATACACACACACAAATCTATTTTCGGTTTTCCAAAGGCGTGTCACTATCACTATGAACAATGAGTCTTATTCTGTGGTAAGGGAGTCCGGCCACAGTACCTGGCCAGTGTCCAAATATCACCCTGCTCCTGCAAGCCTGTCTGATCCTGGGGTCTTTGCAGATGTCCTTGGTTGGTTTAGAGCGTATGCTTCCTATAATTTCACTGGTGGTTAAAAAAGAAAAAAAAAAGCATCAGCACGATAAAAATGTATGTCTCCCTTAAGCTGCACTCATCTGTAACATTTAAACCAAAGGCTTTTCAGCTGAGGTCGTGCCAGTTCCCTCTAAGAGAATGAATGAATTCTGATCCCTTGAAACAAACAGGTTCTTGGTCAAACACTGGTGGTCATAGTCTGGCTGCCTAACAGTCTGCCCACTGGGTGACAGTGTTGATCCATCTGAAATAAATGTGCTTTGTCCCTGGGCCAGGAAACGCCAGGTCCCTAAAAAAGGAAAGATTGCAGGCATCTGGCGTCCTGAGGGCCTCAGGAACTGCTCTGCCTTTCCTCTGGGAGTGCAGCAAATGGTTCTATGTCCTCGTTATCTTTCAAGGGAAAATGTAAGGCAAAGAATTGTTTTGATGTTGCCATACTGGGGGAGGTTTCTTTGGACAAAGTGCTACGGAGAATGGGTATGATTTACTCATAAGCAGTTAATGGGCGCTTCCTGATAGTTTAATAATGAAAGCAAAGAAGCATTGTAAAAACTCAGTTTACCCAAATGCACTGGGATGAAATGATTCTTTAACCAAGGTGCTTTTCCTTCTTACACAAACATGCACCCGGGGCTATGAACAGGGATAAGATTGTCGCGTGGAATGTTATTTCTAAATGACAGGGTCACGTATTTACATTAGTCTATCTGTTCTGACATGATTCTTGCCTTCAAAAGAAAGGCAGGAACCATTCAAGGTGAAGAGTGAACACGATAGCAGGGTTATGGTAATGTTCCAGAGGAAAGGGAATGATGGAACTAGTCATTTTGAAGGGCAAGACAGAGAGTGTTTGCTTTAGGAGGCTTCAAAAGGTGGTTGAGGTTATTTTTTGTTCTCCCCAGAAATGGAGTGAAAAGACGATGATTCAAAATACTGTAACTCTTCAATACAACATTTTATGAGCAATGAAGCCACGTTCGTGTGAGATTTCGTCCAAAATTCTTTTTAATCAAGTGGAAAGACTAAAACAGAATTACCAGTTTAGAAAATCAAAGCCCAAAGCTTTTAGGATTTACAAAGAGTCTTTTTTCTCCTTTGCTTTATTTAATATTATCAGTCCAATCTATTTGTGCTAAATTAGTACATTTACATTTTATTACACGTAACATAATAAGAGTTTGGGGTTTAATAACAAGGGTTTTGATGGCTAAATTGTGCCGAAACTGCGGTGGTATTTTCCAAGGGAGTTGTACTTGAGTTCTGAGAGCCTCAAAATGGGGATCAGAAATACGAACAGGCTGGCTGTGGATGGAGCTTTCACTCCCTGAGACTCTCGCAGACACTAAGCAGCACGGAACAAAGGGCCGTGAAAGGCAGAACGGGACGCTCCTGAGCTGTGAGTCACTTCCCTGTCTGCTCGTTGGACTCTTCAAAGCCTTTCCTAACTTTATCTACCAAATAACCAGACAGCATGGGGCTACTGAGGGCACACTGCAACCACGAGCATTTTCATATTCTCTTCAGTGTATGTTAAGGACATTTTATCAGAGTTTTGGCAGTCTCTACCCAGCAAGGGCCAACTATTTAATCTGCAGAGAGGATTTAGGAGAGGAGGCATGGGTAGCAGAGGTTGACAACTTTTAAGTATAGCAATGTCTCCTGGGAAGCAGACCCAACCCGGACCTCCCCCCATGGGTCTGCCCTTTGCACTAGTGAGTCACAATGAAAGCAAAACTAAAAAGAGAGTGGGGTGGTGACATGTGTGCCCACAGGAGCTCCAGGGTCACCAATTGCCCATCTCTGTCAACAAGGCACCCAAATCCCCTCGTCTTCCTATTTCTTCTACCTCCTTAGTTTTCCAATCATGAAGGTCTTTGGAGACTTTTATGACTGCTCTGTAAGAAGCCTGCCCCACAGACAATTTGTGGGAAGGGTTCTGTGGGTCTGTCTTAATATTTGGAAAGGCAAAAAAGCATAAGGAAGGAAATCAAAATCACTCACACTTCTCCTACCCAGAAATAAACACAGTTAATGGTTCCGTGTACAGGTATACTTCATTTCACTACAGTTAGCTTTATTACAGATACCACTTTTTTACAAATTGAATATTTTTGACAGCCCTGTGTTGAGCAAGTCTATTACTGCCATTTCTCCTACAGCATGTGCTCACTGAGCATCTCTATGTCACATTTTGGTGATTCTCACAAAATTTCAAACTTCTCACATTATATCCATGATGGTGAGCTGTAATCAGTGTTCTTTGATGTTACTCCACTGACCGACCATTCCCTATCTCGCCCTCTCCTCGGGTTGCCCCATTCGCTTAGACACAACATTACTGAAATTAGGCCAATTAATATCCTTACAACAGCCTCTGAGTGTCTAAGCAAAAGGAAGAGTTGCATGTCTCTCACTTGAAATCAAAAGCTAATAACAATTAAGCTTAGTGAGGAAGGCATGTCAGAAACTGAGCTAGGCTGAACGCCAGATAGGCTTGCACCGGTTGGCCAAGTTGTAAATGCGA